TGAATGCCAAAAGAAGTGAAATCATTCTCCGAATGGACCCCAAATAAAAAGTAGCCCCTCGCATGAATGATTTGACCCTCAAGGCCGTAACACCGTTTATTTATTGGTCACTCAATTTTTTCATCAACAAACTTTCATGTGCTTCATGTTCGGTGGTAATTAAAGCCCATAGTCTATTTCTCCAATTTAGCCATATACTTTGCATACTTTTATTCTTTATATTTTTTATATTAATATTAATGAGATTAATAAAAATAACTTATAAAGAGGTTAATGAGTAATATTTGTTATGATAAAAGAACATGATCTCATTGTCAACATCTAACTTGAAGTATTTGTTGGGAAAAATAATTGAATCGATTATATAATATAATTAGTTATTAATTTTTAGTTTTTGATGTGAATTATATTTTCTAGAATAGCAATTGAAAGTTACATTTATTCTATATTTTTAAAATAAAAAACATTAAAATTAAATCAAATGCACTGCTCCACAAGATCCAAGTTATTATGGTATATTTTTGCGGCCAATCGGTTGTTATTATTATTATTTTTTCAATTTCTCTTCGATTTGCATTTAACAAAAAAAAATTCTTGACTCTATACCAACGGCACTCTAGACGTTAACGAACTTCTTTTTTGGAGGCGAAAGGTGAAAGCACTATTCTTAAGTGGGGTCCACTCTGGCAGCGGTTCAGAAAAACCAGTGTAAGGAGAAATTATGATCCGAGAAGCACGGGAATATACCTCTCTTCGGAGACAGTTTTTGCCATAGCCACCATCGTCGAGCAGGATTCGTTTCCTCTATTCCCAATACACAGAGTGGGAAAGCCCGATAAGAGTGAGAAAGGAAGGAAAGCGAATCGGCTAGGGCGGGAGAAACGACGGCGTTTCCCACGTCTCCTTCTCTTGGAGGTACCACTTGCGAGGTACAGGTAAATGAAGCTGTCCGGAGAAAGTATGGCGTCCGACGAAGGCACTAGTGACTGCGACGGTGGTCGGACTGTCGTGGTCGGGGTGAAGTTGGATCCTCGGAGCAGGGAATTGCTTACATGGGCCCTCGTCAAAGTGGCGGAGCCTGGTGACCATGTCATTGCGCTTCACGTTATCGGCAGTATACCTGGTCTCTATTTCTCTCTCACCTTCGATTTTGCTTTGGTTTTGGTCTATATTTAATCTGATTGTTTTGGTGCAGCGGGTACGGGATCGCTCATCTCTCTTGTAAATACTTTTGATTCTGTTCTTGCCGTTTACGAAGGTTTCTGCAACTTGAAGCAGGTTCGGTACTGCTCTCACACTCTCATTATTTTTTGGTTTAACCGTTTCGTTACATATTTTAATCGTTTGCTTGGATTCTGGCGAAATGCGAGGTTTCTCGAAATTAGTCTCGGGTGATTATTAGAATTCTAGATTCTAAATTGTTAGGAGAATGACATTGTGGATATCTTTTTGCAACTAAAAATCCTTTTATACATTTTTTTTAATTGTGAATTTTGAGCCTCAAGTCCGCTGAACATTCCCCAGGTTGGTCTCAAGCTGAAAGTATGTAGAGGTGAGTCATCTCGGAAACTTCTTGTACGGGAGGCGAAGTCGCTCGGTGCATCAACTGTAATTTTGGGGACTTCTAAAACGCATCATACAATCCGGTCATCGGCATCCGTTGCCAAGTATTGTGCAAAAAAACTGCCCAAATATATCTCTGTCTTTGCTGTTGACAATGGCAAAATTGCGTTCCACAGAGAGGCTACGAAAATACGTGCTATTCAAGGTCGTACCTGTATTTCTGTATAATCACTCTGACATTTTTAATTCTTTGTTTTCAAGAGAAATACTATTGTCAATTCAACGTGGTCGATATATAGTGCTATGTTCTCTATTGTAAACTGTGATTAGTCAATCAGAAAAAAATGTGAATTAATACAACTATTTATTTTAATAGAACTGAATGAAGGCCCGGCTTTATTACATAAATCTTTCAAGCCTTGTACAAAGACAAATCCCAGGAACTGTGAAAGTTGTGCGAGGGTGTTGGCACTTCCAGAGAGTTCTGCAACTGGAGCTTTGCCTGATGATCAGGAAAAGAATGATTCACTAGCTTTAGTACCGGTCCAGAAAACTGGTGGTCCTTGGTATGCAACTGTGGTTCAGGAATCAAACCAGTCTAAACATGGTTGGTCTGTCCTTCGCCAGGTATTTCTGCCCAAAAAGCATATACAGAAATCCTATGTGAGCAATCCATATGTTTTTCAACGGGTTGTTAAACAGCCCAGCTGGCATTCATCAGCTGTAGTCCATCCAGATCTTAAACAAATTAATATTGACAAAAATGACATTACTACCCTTGATGGGCAGAGCGGTGCCATTGTGCCATTCAGATCTGCTGCTAACTCTGGCTTGAGCAACTTTCATGAAGAATTGTCCAGGTTACAGGAGAAGTACTCATCCTCATGCAGAGTATATAGTTTCCAAGAACTTGCTTCTGCAACTGCTAACTTCTCGCCTGGTTTGTTTTCTTTGCATTAACTTTCCTGTCCCTATCATGGTTCCGATTACTTCTTTTGTTTGGGATATATTTTAATGAAATCTAATAATGTTTTCAGATAATTTGGTTGGCAAAGGTGGCAGTAGCTATGTTTATAAAGGATGTCTTCTAGATGGCAAGGTGGTGGCCGTAAAAATTTTGAAGCCATCAGAAGATGTGTTCAAAGAGTTTCAGCTGGAAATTGAGATCATCACAACTTTGCATCATGAGAACATAATATCTTTATCTGGGTTTTCTTTTGACGACAATAACTTGCTTTTGGTTTATGATTTTCTATCAAGAGGAAGCCTAGAAGAGAACATTCATGGTAGATATCTATTTGGTCTTGCCTGCTCGGAATTACATAATCATCATGTCTCCAATTTCTTTCTTACTCGTGTATTTTGTTGAAGGTGATAAGAAGGACTGTAATGTATTTGGCTGGCAAGAGAGGTATAAAGTGGCTGTGGGCGTTGCTGAGGCACTGAACTTTCTGCATAATGGCTGTGCATATGCTGTGATTCACAGGGATGTAAAATCTTCAAACATCCTTCTTTCAGATAATTTTGAGCCTCAGGTGCTGTAGTTACCTTTTTTCCATTGATTGATTATGTTCCTTTTTGAATTTATTACACTTGATTCTTATTTGTCATCAGCTCTCCGATTTTGGGCTTGCCAGTTGGGGTTCTTCTTCATCCCACGTTACTTGTACTGATGTGGCTGGAACCTTTGGGTGTGTATCATGTCCTCTAAATCCTCTCTGGACTGGTCAACTTTAAATGTTTCATGTTTCAGAACATTTTCTTTTCTGGCAGATACCTGGCTCCAGAGTACTTTATGCATGGTAGGGTAACTGACAGAATCGATGTATATGCTTTTGGTGTTGTGCTTCTTGAGCTTCTTTCTAGCAGGAAGCCCATCAATAACGAATCCCCTAAGGGCCAGGAGAGTCTTGTGATGTGGGTAAGCTTTTCTGCTGTGTTAAATAATAATTGGAACGTCTACCAAACAACCAAAATAATAATTGAATATCCTATGAGATCTGGTCGTAGTATATCAAAGTGTTGAGAATGAATGCGATTGTGACAATATCCAGGCAAGACCAATTCTAAAGGATGGAAAGCTCTCACAATTGCTTGATTCAAGCGTTGGCGATCCTCAAGAGTGGCTAATTGACAGAATGGCTTTGGCTGCTACCCTTTGCCTCCGACGATCACCTAAATCTCGACCTCAAATCGACATTGTGAGTCTCCTCTGTTCAATTCTGCCACATCCTTATTGTCACGCCTCTTTTTTTTTTTTTTTTTTTGTTGCCGCGAAGTTACAGTCTGATGATGTTTCTTGAGAGCAGATATTGAAACTTCTGCATGGTGATGAGGAAGTGACAAGTTGGGCAAAACAAGAAGTCGGTGCACCAGAAGAACTTGAAGCGTCTGATGGGGGACTGAATAATATTCAGTCCCATTTGAACCTTGCTTTGCTGGACCTGGACGATGATACAGCTTCTGTCAGTAGCTCTGAGCAGAGTGTCTCGTTGGAGGACTATTTACAAGGAAGATGGAGTCGCTCCTCAAGTTTTGATTAAGCAATTCATGGTAGCACTAACTTCAAAGCAACTATTTCTTTCCAAACTTTTTATGTTATCCTGTGCCTTTCCCCTCCCTAGTTTAGATTTTGAAAGATCCTGCTGACTGGGTCTTGGAAGAGAGGTCCCAATAAGAGTATATAGCCCCCTCCTTGACTTTGTAGCTCTGCCTGGGTTCATCATAATTCTCCGAGATGAGTTAATGAGTCCAGTCCCACGTGTCATAAAAGCTTGCAATCGTATTCCAAGTTTCCGCGGGCTATTTTGTTGGCCGCTTGAGAGTTGAGAACCATGAAGAGTGTGTATACTTGGTCTCCTCTGATGTGGCATGCCCATTTTCTCTTTTCTTTATCTTTCGGGCAACCATTAGTTCTTTTTTTTTTTTTGGGTTTAAAGCTTCTCACACAAAGATACGAGAAAGCGCAGCCTTTTTTATTCTGTTATGGTATAAAATTTTCCTTGATCACCATGTATTCAGTGCACAGGATATTGATAAATTGGTACACATGAATGAAGAAGTTGCACCCTGCACAAATATGCAACATGATTGAGATCAAAAGCTTGAAAAAACATGTTTTTTTCCTGGCTGGTACCACCGCATTTTCTAGTTTGAAAAGGCAAAAACTTGAGAAACTAGACTATAAGCACGATCACAAATCATTCAACGTCAAGCTTGCTTAATAAAAATTAGTGAGGCTTGGCTTGTTAAGTTGTTATTAATTAATTATATTAGTTTATAATTAAGCCACACAGAGGTCAACTATAATAAAAGCTATTGCCATTGCAAAATTTTACTCCCCCCAAATCGCAATATAGAGTATTTTTTTAAAACCCCATTTGATTCAAAATACAGGAATTTCAATTATACTTTTATTTTATTATTTTCCACTCAAGTAACTAAAGGTGTTTTGAATAAATCAAAATATTATATTCACTTTTTGAATAGCAAAAACTGACCAAAAAATGCACCACCTTTGACAAAAATGCACAAGAGACTGCCTTATCTTGCCACATGAAAGTAATCATTTGGCAATTTTCTGTCTACAAGGCAGCCAAAACAGAGCACGGCTCGATCCATTCAATTTCAAGTTCTCTTAATAATGATCTACACATTCAATACCCTTTGAAATTCTCCAGTTATATCATCCAAATCAATCACTTCTCTTTCTTCCATCTTCAATTTGCTGAGCTCCGAATTTAGCTCGGCAAGCCGCTGCTGTAGTTTTTCTCCCCTATCAGGTAATCTAGAAATCATTGCCTGCAATGGTTTATATAGCAGGGAGGCATCAATTGTGAACTGATTCAATGCAAAGCACATAATGTCATGATTCGCCAATATTTCAGATGTGAAGTTGACATGAACCAACCAATCCTCACTAAACTACCATTGATTGATTGTTTCCGATCTAACAAGAACATAATAATACCTTATTTGCTAGTGTTTGAGAAATCCGTTTGATTTTATCCCTGATTTCAGACTCAGTCAATTTACCAGCGCTATTTGGGGAAGAGCCTTTCTTGTTCAATTTGACTTCCTTTGGATTGAAAGCAAACTCAGCTCTGACCAAATAAAAAATAGGTTAAATAAACAAGGTCAGACCATAGATCAAAAGAAAAAAAAAGTTTGAGTGGGGGAGGAATCGATCTAATATCCGTATGACGATGAATAATTACCCATCAACAGGACGTTCAAGGGAAGTTGATGCTGACGCTCCAGCATAACTGGTCCCATGATTCCTACAAAAAGAAGATCAACGCAGCATTGTTTAATTAAGCAATTAGTTAACAATAATACTATGGTCCAAAAAGAAGCCAATTCAAGAAATAATATTTTGCATATTTTAACAGTACATCATCCATAATCCATAAAGTAAAATAAAATTATAACATCCAAGAGCATTAGCAAGATTTCAGCATTACATCTTGGGTGAAAGAACCACATGGGAAGCATATCCTAATAACTATGTATTGTTGTTACCTTGGCACTTCATCATCCCCAGGTGCATCATGGACTGGTGCTGTTTTGGAAAAGAGTAAACTGTGGTGACTAACTCCACCTATGCCTTGACTTTTCAAGAACTCTATGTGTGCTTTAAACGAGTCATCCCTGAACAACACAAATACAAAGTCAAAAATCAGAAAGCTACATGCAGCACTCTATTGCTTCGACAGTATGCTCAGATTTGAAACTCATACACTGTATCTTCACAAGCATGCTCCTCCTCTAATTGCTTCTGAGTAACAGACACATCAAAACCCTCCTTTGGGAGACTGAAAAGCTCTCGGAGATCCTGAAAAGGATGACTGAAGAAGTTATTACATTGCACCACACGCTAGTCAAAGATGTTCTCAGCATACATTAGAAATAAGCAATACTCTCACTACACTTGTACCTGCTGGCTGAAGTACCGAATTTGCTCTTTATGCTCTGTTGCCGTTTTAAACAATCCCCCCTTGTATACCTGAAAATCAAATAATCAGAGTGTCATGGATTGAATCAAAATCTAAACAAAGAGAACTACAAATAAATGAGATTCACTCAAAACTAAATCCGAAGTAATATTAAGTTTTCTATCTTCCTCATTACCATAGATCAATAATTGGTACATCAAGTAAAAGGTTGAAATTTACCTGCTTCCTGTATATTTTTTCTTCAACGGTTCCGCATGTCATTAATCTATACACAAGAACATCTTTCTTTTGGCCAATACGATATGCACGATCAACACTTTGGTTATCCGTACTGCCATTGTTGAAGCAACTATTATTAGAACTCGATAGCATCATTTTGATGTACTTTTTTCAAGTACAGAATGTAAATTAGGCCCAAGCAAAATTTCAAAGCCTAATGCATTCACACATTCCATCCAAACTGTTACAAAAGTAAACAGAACAAGTATATTAAAAAATCATCACAAAATGAGGGAAAAAAGACATGATCAAATATACAGATAGTTTCCTGAAATAAGAATGCATACTTAAAGTAACCTAAAGATTACAATAAAATGTACAATAGTCATACCAAATTAACGAGATGGATCTAGCTTTGTTAATATACCAATACCAAACTATATAACAAGTTACACAATTCACAATTCATGAACCATATGGATCACATTTTAAATTCTATCAATTGCACAAGAAATTGTGTCTATAAATGATAAAATATATCACAAGCAACGGTATTCACAAATTAGAAATAGTGCGACTAATTCTTCAAACTCTGTGCTTTATATAAGCCTAGCATCCAATTCTATTTATTGAGCTAATGTTAGTGTTAAATAAAACCAACATAGCAGTAACAATGAATAATTCAATATTCAGAAAATCTCTATCAAACTAAACACAAGTTCCATTCTTGTTACCTCCTGAAAGAATTCAGGACAAGAAAAATCCACCTAGTTTCTTAAAGACTACTTTGGCAGAAGCAAATGCAAAATCATAAAAATTGTCTGCAGGAACAAAATATTAGTGTCTACCACTATATAAACTAAAAACTGTGAAAACTCTTACCTACAATACTCGATTTGGCAACACCTTCCAATATTTCTATTGAACAATTAATTAAATTGAAGTTCTCATCCTGATTTCATTGATTAGATACTGAATATATTATTAAAATCATATTTAAAGGAAATATTAACAATTAGAAATCAGAGAAAGAAATGCGCACAACACCTTGGGTTCCAAGCAGGATCAACTACAATCACACGATCTGCCTTAGTAAGTGTCAGCCCTAAACCACCAACTTGAGATGTCAAGAGAAAAATGGGAGCCGCAGCACCTTCTTGGAAATCCTGACATTAAAAAATTTTAAAAGGCAACTAAATAAGAAGATTTCAGAAGAAATTACTTTATGTCACAATACAAAATACTTACATTAACAATCCTTATTCTATCACTAGCTTTTGTTGTTCCATCAATACGTAAAAATTCATAACCTTTGGACGTTACAGATTCCTGTAAGGCATATTAGTCAGCTTCAAATTAACTAAAGAATAAGATAGAATAAATTACTGGTGCAAAATCATTAGAAAATTTCTGAAGGTTTCGAGGCACGGAAAAGAGGAAGAAACCTTTAGAAATCTAGAGCCAGAATCTGAACTATATTCCACAAAACCCACGAGAATCTCCAAAAAAATAAAAAACACGTAATACCACTGATAACTTCACACGCATTCACATGCACCTTCATGGACTAGTACAGAGAAGGACAAGTACACATAAAAGACTGATCTAACAACAAATATAAGACTAACAGCAAGGAGTTAATAACAACTTCATAATTTCCATGATCATACATAAACGATTCCGCATCAGCATATATTCCATTCTGGCTTTCATCTTCTGCCTGCTATAAGTAACAACAGGCAGTGGGATCCTAACAATTCCAAGTCATTATAAAAAAATTTACATAATTGACCTAAAATATATTAGTAATGATTTCCTTGTCTCTTCATGTTCATGGAGAATCGGAAATAAACATAGCAAAACAAAGAAATTCTGAGCTAACCTGAATAAGATTAAGCATCTTGCGAGTTTGAGAAAAAATAAGCACATGATGTCCTTGTGGGATTAAATTATCCTAAAAATATCACAAAATTTATACGTTATACTAAGTACAAAGAATAATATGCCAAAATATGAAGTTCTTGAATTTAGCACACACCAATAATGACATTATGAAAGATATTTTGCATGAGACGTCATGCTCAGCTTTGAACTTGTCTGTGTCAGCAACATCAGCTATGTGCATTGCCAATTTCTCTGCAACGTTAACCTCTTCAGGCTTTAGCATTGAGTCCATCCCTTCCAACACATCTTCAGCTGCCCGCTTAGTCAACAAAAGCGGGTGATCACAAATTTTCTTCAATATCTAATTCATTTTAAAAAAGAAAATAGTTTCTATAATTAATTTAAAATGGAAAGACACTTGATTAAACAAAATTTTAGGGGGAGAACTACACGTGAAAAGCAGATCTATAAAGGTGAGAACTAAGAACGCTATTGAGAAGGGAGGTATAGTAAATATTATATCAAGAAAAATCACCGTAAGTGCAGCAAGCGGTGAGCCATCAAATGCTGAAAGAACAATCTCACTCCTTAGAAACGCTTCATAAAGATATCTCTACATAAGATACGAAACAGCTATAAGTTTCCAAAACAGATTAAATTTGACATTGTGTCTTTTACAATAAAAACACAAAAAAATTGCATCTAACCTGAATACTAGTCAATTGTAGCCACACGATAATCTCCCGTTTTTGAGAAAGTTTCGTCGCTGTATTCTTGTTATCTTGATTAAAAACCTCACTCTTCAGCCGTCTTAAAAAGTAGGGCTGAATACGATCTCTGAGCACCTGATAAGAAAGTATCAATTATCACACTTGGGTCGTTATTTTAATTGATTAATAGATTATTGCTAAAGGGATAAATGAGATGCATGTACACAAGCCAAAAAATTGTATCAAATGTAAAGTAAAAAGAAAGGAAGAGAAAGAACATATAAAGCAAGCATTTTTAATGACTGCACAGGAACTACAGGAGGACATTGCAACCAACTCATAATATCAAAGAAGACACAAGTTAGATGTTTAATCAAAAGAAATCAGTAGCTCAACATATTCTAATAGTACTTTTCACAAGTTAAAGCATACGATTAAATTAAATATTATGAGCAGGGATGCTGAATAGTTTGTTTTACATGATCATATGAGAAGTGTGCATGAAGCTAACGAGTTGTGTTAGCATCGAATGTCAATATTTGGAATCCTTCATGTAAATTTACTGCAATATATGGATAAAAAGGAATGGCAAACAAAGAAAATAGATTTTCAAGATCATAAGTAAGCGAGGGAGGGAGGGAGGGAGCGAGGGAGGGAACATCTATAGGATATTTAAACATGTTATTCAAATTATCGTTAATCGCAATATTTTTTTTATTGGTAACCATGATATTAGAACAATAGAACCTAAGACGCAACCGAAATCATTACAGTTACAGATTTTTTAGCACAAATTTTATTACCTTTGCAACAGAAGAACCAACACGCTTATCTCTCTCAGAAGCTTTTTTGTCATTTCCACGAAGTATAGCTGACTCAAAATTTTCTTTGAACCTGACACGGTAAAATTTTAAGAGTTAAAACCTAAGAGAAAGTTAACAGCATCATAAGGCAGCATGAAAAAGACTAATACCATTTCTTATCGCCCAGCAACTCAGGGCAGCAGAAATTGAACAAGGCCCACAACTCCTGTTTGAAAATTTAAGAATGAAAATCACACAACAGGTCACCATAAAAAACAAAATTACAAAAACCAATGCAGATGCTATATTTGAAGAATATATTAGTTACAAAACAAAAACAATCTTCATGAAATACCTTCAGATTATTTTGCAATGGCGTGCCACTGATGATTACGCGGTGGGCACTTGGTATCTCTAGCAAACTTTTAGCTCTCTGTGTGCTTGGGTTCTTTATAAGATGGCCCTAAGGACCAAAGCAATTTGACAAATAAAAATGTAAGCCTTAATTATTTATGATACAATCTGCAAAGTTGTATTTGCTAAAATTTAGGGTTAAAGAAAATAGGTAGCAGAATTTAAGGCAGATGGTACGCACCACAAACCTACATCTTATGTGCAAAAATAAAACTCTTATGACTACCTTTGTTTCCAAAAGAAACTTTAAGTTTTCCTCATTTCATTACAAAATGAGAGATACACAGATAACCTCTAGAATCCAGAATTATATACTCACACATGGACGTTTTATGGTGAAAAAAATTAGTGAGAGGCACAAGCATGTCTAGGGATAAATAGCTAAATAGAACCATGTACAAGAAAAGATGATGCAAAATAAAAGTCAAACCTAAATTTTGAAAACTAGACAGTAGTTGGACTTCAAAATAAGTAAAACCATTCTTACCTCATCAAGTATCATATAATCCCATGTGGGGCCATCTTCACCTTCCTCATCATCAGATAGATAATCCCCCCGTAATGATTTAGAATTATTGCGAACAATATCATATGTTGTAAGAAGAACACCTTTATCCTAAATGGTAATACAAGCAAATAAGACTGATAACATCAAATTTGTCAAATTTAAGATTACAGTACTGGATATTCACAAGAGTAAGCTTACGTGAAACTTTGATAATCAAACACTGAAAAGCTAAAGTGATTTTAAACTACTACTCCCTCCGTTCAAAAATGTAAGGCATTTTTAACTGAATTTCACCCCCCAATAAAATAATTACCTACTTTCAAACCAACTATATCTTTCCATCTTTACCCTTTTTAAACACCTTACAATAAATATAAAGTCGTTATCAATAGGGGCACTTTTGAAAAAAAAGTAATGATTACACCTCGAAAGACTAAAAATGCCTTACATTTTTTAACATCCAACTCATTAAAAAATGTCTTATATTTTTGATCGGAGAGAGTACTTAAGAACCACCATGAATCTTTTAAAAAGGAAAACACATTGCAAATACAGATATCCTCAATTGCCAAACATGAAGCTCATCTACAAGTTGACATATAACATGTTTCCTTTCCTTCCCTGTTTATTAAAACTTATAATTCAGGAGCATAAATTTAATTTTGCAGCGTAACATGACGTCAGTTGAATATCAAATATGCTATAACCAATACCTGAAGTATGTATTGAAGTTCATACTCTCGGGCTTTAGTACATGTTCCAAAGTATCTACAACAAATGCAAGTTGGTGAATTTTGCACTAGTAGAAACATAATTGGGTTTGTGAGAGTATATAAATTCAAATAAATAAAGTGAGGCAGACGCACTCTCTCGTCTTCTGAGAAAGACCAACAGCAGATAGTTCTTTGATCCAGTGGGGAAGTAAGGTTTTTGGGGCCACAACCAATGCCCTTTTGATCAAATGTGAATTGAATAAACCAGCTAAAAAGCTACAAATCTGCAGGAGGAACCCAACATTCATAATCTATGTACTACAGATGCTGCAAAACAATTGCCTAGTGTTCGTTACTTACTTGCATTGTTTTCCCCAGACCCATGTCATCCCCCAGGATTCCACCTTTACCCTGACAATGCAGAGACCAAAGCCACTTCAAACCATCACGTTGATGCGGATACAACATTTTTGCAATTTTGCCTGGCAACTTGTATGTGGAATGTGGGCCATTCATAGTTATAGAATTAAAATCCTCAGAATCAAAATGATCCAGCAATTCTACAGAATCGTCCGAATCATCTTCTACAAGTTCAATGCCTCCACTGATAGTAGCATCAGATAAACTGTCACAGGGGTCCTGTTGAGCTGAGAATGAAGAATCTGCACTGGCATAATCAACATTCTTATCTTCCGTAGTTTCATTTCCTATCACCAATGCTGAACAATTTTCAAATGTCTGCGTTGATTTAGGTACCCTCTTCTTCTCAATTGACAGAATATCAAACTTCGAGCTCAACTCATCTAATATATCCCTAATTTCACTCCTACCCTGACTCTTCTCAATCTCAGTCGCATTTTTTGTCGGCAAAGGGGGTGAATCAAAATCCACAAGGTCAGAAACCTCCGAGTCATCGAGCGCCACCATTTTATCAGTATTATCATTGTCTGCACATGACACCTTGCATAGGCGACGCCGGCCTTCCATTTTGACCTTAGTTTTCTTTTCCCCTTCTGAAATTCACACGTAGGCCATTTCAGTTCCTTATGATATCATGAACACCACGGAGGCAAGTGAAAAATAGGAAAAAGCGTGCTTACTGTGGGTTTCAAAGCCGGTCGTATCTTTAGACTGGGGAATATTATCATCTTTATCTTTATTATTTTGCTTTGGCGAGACAGTACAGAGAAGGCGTCGATCTTCTACCTTGATCGGCTTTTCGTCTTCCGCCGAGAGTGGTTCAAATAAACGACAATCGTCTCACATAAGGAACGAATTAAAAAAAAAAAAAGCATCAATAACAGAAGTATGGATGAATACCGATAGAAGAATCGAAGTCGGTGATCGCAGAAAATCGAGGGATGCTATCATCTTCCTCGTTTTTGTCATCCCTGGAAAAAGCTTTGCCCTGCTGCTGCCTTCTGCCTTTGAGCATTATCGGCGACGACTCATCTTCGTCATCTGCCAAAAGAACAAGCAAAGAAAAAACAAAAATTAATCAAGCCAAGTAAAGTTCACCCTATGAGAAATAGCTGAATACGAGAGAGATTTACAAAAAAAAAAAAAAGGTACCAGATGCCTTCGAGGAGGGCTTCGGAGGTGCAGAAAGGTCTTGGAGGAATCGATAATGGCTATCGTTGAGGCTTAGTGGTTTCTTGCTACTTTTGCCAGCCATGTTCGAAGAGATGAAAATGGAGTATCAAGAGGCTATTTCGCTAGGTACATACTACAACACAACGGACCTGGGCTTCCCGCTTTCAATGCAATATTTGAATTTGAGACGGACATTGAAAAATGAGAACCTCACTCTACTGTATGGATCGCAGAAAATAGAGTAGCGATGATGGCTAATTGGCTGTGCGACTCGCCGGCAGGAAGATTTGAAAGCCCAAAGTTGTCCTCAGTCGCTTGGGTTTTTGTTAGGGGTGTTCTTAGATTCGGTTTGGTTTGATTTTGGGTAAAAACTAAACCGAACCGAACCATTCAATTTACTGATAATTGAAACCTGATCGGTTTTTGCAAAGTTCGGTTTGATTCGGTTTTATATTCAGTTTGGTTCGATTTGGTTAAGGTCTTGATCAAGTTTTAATACACTTGTTTAATTTTTTTTTCCTTTTCTCCATCTTCATAATGGTGCTATGTACTAAAATTAAATTTAATTCTTTTTGACTCTTTTTTTTTCATAAATAGAGGTATAAAAATATAATAAAATTTTAATGTGATAACAATAATTAATCATAAAAATTCATATAAGTTTTTAATATTAAAATTATTTAATATTATATATTTTCATTCAAATCCTTTGAAAATGTTTATCTATATATCTATATGTTAATAAATAATGAAAAATTTATTATACAAAATTCAAAACAAAATGTTTCTTGTAGATAAATTGAATGCTGAGGCTTTTAGTTGTAAATCATTAAATGATGATCATAGCATGATTATTATAATTACTTAATATTATGCATTTTCATTCAAGTATTTTAAAAATATTTATTTATTATTATAAAAAATTCAAAACAAAATGCTTCTTGTAGATAAATGGTTATATATTTTATAAATAAATAAATAGAATTTTTTTAATCAAGTTTGGTTCGGTTTGGTTCGGTTTCTAGTATTCAAAACGAACTTGAACCGAACCAATCGATTTTTATGTCATAAAAACCGAAGCAGACCTAATTGTTGTTCGGTTTTGATCGGTTTTTATCGGTTTGGATTGGTTTGGATCGGTCCTTTCAGTTTGGATCGGTTTTGAACACCCTTAGTTTTTGTTTTGTAAGACCCCTCATCTCCTGGCCTCGTTCAGTCATTTTATCTGCGTAACTAGATTGGAATTTTTTTCTCGAAAATACTTGTAAAGAAAATACTAATTTAAAAAATTTTAAATAATGTAACTTTAAATTTAAAAATTATTTATTTTATTACGGACTTATATTTTATTAAAATTGTGAAGAAATATTATAAAAATAACAATAAAATTTTTGCCAAGAAGAATAAAAACCAACCCAACTGCCTATCATCTCACATGGCAGTAAGATTTGTGCCCAATTCCAAACTCTTCGCTGTCCTGCCGACTTGATTGAGAAACCCGGCCTTGCCTCCAAAGAGTTTTTACAATTTTTTTATATTTTTCTATGATATTACGAATAAGGATTCACCGCTTTCTAATTATTATAATATCCACCTTAATATTATCATTAATCCTCACACTTAGTACACAAAAGTAGTTACGAGTCTTTAAACTACTAAATTACCATAATTCATAAAAACTAAAACTATATAGAAAATAAATATTTGAAAATGGTTGAGATCACACAAAAACTATAGAAAATATGTCCATAACATCAAAATATGAGTATTTATGTACAACAAAAGTGTATAAGAATGCATAAACACAATGCAATAAAAAACAAAGGCAAAAAAGTCGTCTTCTTTGCCCAACTGGATGTATATGCCATAGTATGTGTCACATGTGTCGCGGCATATGTATCATGCATCATAGTAAACGTTTGTGTGACAGTAAAAAGCTATCATAAACTACTTTTCTGCACAAACTTCAAACATACGTCATTTTCACAAACAATATCTAATTAGAGTAATTCAAATGTCTACACATAACTAATGACATAAATTTCACCTCAATCTAATATTCTATTTAAAAAATGGACATTCAAATGTAAAATGGCTGCTTTATCTCATTCATCACATGCAAGTGTCTTAAACCACAACTTTATGTCATTGGCCACCATTAAGGCATCAACCACATCTAATGAACTAATATACACTTGATAAAGCAATTATAACAACAATCATGCACTTAAGCATCAATTTAGTCATCCAAATGCCCTAATTCGCATTAAAATAGGGCCACTTTTCACATATATACAAAGATTATTCTCTAGCCAAATTTCACACACCATATCATCTCAAAATCATGACATACACTGGTACTAGTATCTTAGCCCTCCTAGTACATTTACTATATTTTCACTTTTCAAGGCTAAGATACACACATAAAGTCATACAAATGTAACCAAACATGTATACGCATTCCTACAACAACTTATAAACATATATATATATATATACACACAACTATGCAAATTCATTACACAAATTTAAAGATGGGGCACTGTAGTAGTTCTATTACTTTTGGCCCAAGTCTTTCCATATGCTCCTATCAGCATATAAGCATATAAAATAGTAATCATAGGGTGAAATAAAGTCCTAGTAACCAAAATAATCAAAAATTAATTATTAACAAGTAAATTAATCATCATCCATTTACAAGATAATACATAAACATATAGTTATATGGTAAATATCACATGTATGATCATACTAGCCAACCAAACTTTCGTGATAGAAATGGCCAACCAAAGGTATTTTATCTCATTTTTGGACTAAGAATTTCCCTTATCACACACACAATTGAGCTGTCGTATACTCCAACGCTATACCCTCTCAGGTACTAAGGAGCTCATATCACGTAATGACTATCAAGATGTCTTATGATAATAATCTCTTACATGTTGTTGCATCGAATGTCCTATAATATCAGCACGACTATATAAATTTTTAAACTACTCCCTCTAGGGTTAACTCTCACCCTCTAACATGATTATGACTTACACACATGTATATACGCTATAAAACTACTACACTGACTTTCATTACATTTTATTTTCAATAAACCTTTAAAATCACTAAAGTAATAAACATGTTTTACATTTTAAAACTATTTTTCACTTATTAATTTAAAACCATATAATTTATAATTCGCACAACATGTGATATTATACTTACTTTTGAAAACAACTTGCAAATAGTTAAACAAGCTAATAAATAAAATAAATTATTTAATTACCCCAACCCTTCTATATCTAAAAAGGTTACTTGTAGTACTCTTTGGCTTTTTGCTATCAGCTGCTCAAACTAGCAATGAGCCACATTAATCTACATAATTAAATACTTTATGTCAACTTTAAATTAAACATAAATACTTATTAGTACAAATTAAATTAGCTTGAGTTTTTAATCACTTTCATTAAACAATTTTAAGTCCTATTCATCTTTCATAAGCCTTCTATAACTTCCTTATTAACCATATAGGATTTTCACACTTTAAACATCCTAATTAAAGCTAATATTGAGCCCAAAGCTTCAAAGGCCAACCATTGACTACTGAACTAGTTACAAATTCTTATTTTAACTCTCAATAGTCCTTTCATGACTATTGAGCTAGAAAATAACCCCTCAAAACTTTTCAATTTAATTTTTCTATATCTTAAACTAAAAAAAAGGGTAAAATAGGAGAACAAGGAGGTATGAAGCTTACATAGTAAGCAATATAGATCAAAACCAACCCCTAAGTACCCAAAATCATATGCCCTAGCACAATTGCCTTTCTCTCCCTCTCCTTTTCTGTTCTTTGCCCTATTTCTCCTCTAGTCTATAAGCTGATCCATGCAAGTAATATTCAAATTTTTGCTCCACGCATTATGACTCGTGGCACAATGCGACAATTCTCATTTTAGCTCACATGCTCTGTCTCGAATCCCTCTACTTCCTTCCAATCCTAACCATACAATTGTCTAATAACCAAAATATCATTTAACCATCCCAAGTCATGAGTAACACAATTAATCAATTAATTTACTAATTTACCTTTAATTAGTAATTAATTTTCATATTAAAAATTTAAGATGTTACAGTTGTGTTCATTCATGGGTATGGACTAAGGAATATATTAGATCATCCATGAAGGCAACTATTTTTACTAGAAAAAAATAATTCTTAATAATATGAATTATATTTTCATACCTTCCTTGTTTAAATTAATTGATGAATTAGTATACTAAATATGTGAAAATCAAATAATAATGAAATTATAAAAGTAAATGACTTGAGTTATAATTTAGGGGAATATAACACGATAAATATCCATAATGGTGGCTATAGGCAATAGTATTTGAACTCTTTCACTGTGCAATTCTATAATGTAAGGTTACTCTTACTAAACCAATACTTAACTAAAACATTAATTGTAATCTTGGGACTAACCTAAATAGATTATCGCTCATTTACAAATCATTAAAGTCAAAAGAAATAAAAGCAAGATCCTAAATTTTATAACTTCAAAACACTTTAATTAAAACTTTAATAAGTTTAAATTAGAATGAAAACAAGTACCAAAACATGGAAAATCATTTGATATTGCAAACTTTGAGAAAACCCAAAGGAAGAAGAAGCAAAAGATGTATCGTGGTGCATTGTACATCATATGATAGTGAAATGTTATCATTTAATAGCATTCTGGGGGCGACTTTTGATGCATCTTATTTCTCTATCTGACATCTGATTAAGGTAATCTAGATATCTATAGAAATTTCTTAACAAGTCCTAGCTAATAGCATCAGTCTTATTCCCAAATCATATCTCAAACAAAAGTTGGACACCGATTATTAATTTCACATATTTTCACAATTTAAACAAAACTTGAGCATCCAAAACCTCAACTAAGTGCCCAAGGCTCACAACTATCTCTAGACTATATTCAATAGACTTAATATAACATGTGCAACACAGCACAACATCATAAATATACATATATCACAATTCAACCGCTAACCCCTTAATCTAAAAAACAAATGAGAGAGGTGATCTCATATCAAAAGTCAAACATATCTCTTTACAATCAAATGTATCATCAACATCATATTTACACTAATATTTTGGCTCTGTTTAGATAACCCAAAGCATCATGCAAACAACCTAAGTTCTAAAATACAATATTTAACCTCAACAAGTAATAGTCCAAGTGAATCACAAAGCATGAAACTCCTAGTTGGCAATATCGGTATAAGTATACACATAAACA